ACTCAATGCATATCTTTTTTTAAATGCTTCATAAGGAATATTTATAAATGCTGCTATTTTTCCGCTCCGGCATATCCCGGCATCATTCTTCTAAAGTAAGGATTTTCCATGCACTCATACGAAGTAATTCATGAAAATACCTAAAAATTCATAAGTGAAAGTTTATTACTCAGTGGATACCTTCTCAGATGTCTTTTTAGCAACGCTTCTTTTTCCGGCTCTTTCTTCTCCAACGTCATCGCTCTGACTGCCAAAAAAAGCAGGCAAGTGGCCCTGAAAAGAACCCATGTATTTTTATAGTTCATTAATTTCGCAAGCTCACTGAATTATAACTTCTTCGACAGTATTTTAAAGCACTCGGTCATCTACCCGCTGAACGCAAAAATTTACCTCGATATGATCGTGCGCAACATCAACTGCCAGCGATCTCGAGCCGTCCCGGGATTCACACGGCGCGGTTTCCCACCCCATCCAGTAATGCCTCTTTTTGCAGAGAGCATTCACAATGCAGTTTTCGACGTCGCTTACTGCACCCGAAGTTTGTTGAAGCGGCAGCGTTTGCCTCCACGTACGCCTCAAAAAGAAGCACTTATTGAAGAAGCCTAGAAATGCAAACAACACAGACCTCTCGAAAACATCACGGACAACACGGTCTCTTCACCATTCGCCGTACAAGTAAAAACCTTGTAAACTCTAAATTCGGCTTGGGCCGGCGGCGCAAAATACGGTCGCTTGCGAGTTCCGGTGAAAGTTGCGAAAATCATCGTTGTACACTATTACTAAACCTTCCAGTGAGGTTTTTTTTTCTCTCATCATCCGGCTTCTCGCTTAACATCCTAAACTCATAGACCCGATGATCTCTCCACCCCTGTTTCCAACGCCTATCTCCAAGCGAGGTCCCCACTTTTTAAATACCCCCCCCCCTCCCACCATTACGACCCCCAAGACCAGTCTAGCACCCCGTCCTTTGCCCCTCCATAGCTTTCCTACGCCCCAATCTCACAACACTCAGTCACTGCGACTCGTCACTTTTCCCCTTCCCCGTCCTGCCTGCCCAACCGAGCAGAGGTTTAATAATTGCCAAAATTTGGAATCCTTTTCTTCCCAAAGTTGACGACACCAGTGCTTTTTCGTTTTAGACCTCAATATTTATAACAGAGTTAATGCTATTATAAAAAAAGACTTCACCCCCCTCCCAGGAAGCCGCCCTGGATTCACCTAAGTGGCTCATCACCCACCACCCTCCAACGACTGCCCCATTTATCGTCTTGAATTCCTGATTAGCGCCCTCGTCCCCTCCTCTATTCTGTTCCCAATCCGTGTCCCCGGAGCTGCATCTGGACTTTCACTAACCAAGACCCCCCTCCCCCCTTTCGCCCCTTCCCTCTTCCTCTCCCAACCACGTCCAAAACCTACCCATTTATTCCCAACCACACATGGCCATTGATCGCTAGATAATTCACCACCGGGCACTTTTTGGCAAAGTGCCAATCCACCCCCTTGGCAAGTGGCGCTATGAAATAGCGTTAGCGGAGAAGCTAGAGCGTTCCAAAATGGCAGCCGAGCCGAGGTTTGGTAAAATTGCCGCTAGCAGGCATGGCGGTATGGGATGTTGTTGAGGTCGAGGGTTTGACTGGCGAAATGCGAGGAGAGTTTTGACATTTAACTTTATGTAATATGAGCCCGGATTTCTCCTAAGTCTTTCCTTTTTCCGTCCTACTG